ACACACATATATACGTGTGTATGTATATGTATAATATATTATTTGATTTAGGAACCAAAATGGACCATGAGATGGCTTAGCCAAATTTATTGAAATGAATGTCATTATTAAAGGTGTAAAGAAAATGGAGATGAATTAGAAGGTATACCATAAATGGTGAAAGTGGGCCATTAATTGGTGTGTAATGTACACCCACCCCCACATAATTATAATATATACTTAAATTGTGTTGTGAGGTTTCCTACCAATTAACATTTGTCCAAATCAATATTCCCACCTTTGCCTTTGCTTCTTTCTAATAGCAACTTCCATTCAGCCCACCTAAATAAATGTGGTCATGTGGGGGGGAAATTGGTGTGTTTACAATAACAACCTATTTTATTGGTTTTAAATCAATTATTTCTATGTCTGTTTGTAATGGTTACAATAAATTAATGGTAAATATGATTTTGTTTCAATAAATTTTATTTTATTTTATATTTGTTAAATAATATATTTTAAATATTTGATTAATAGTTGAATAAATCATGTAAAACATAATAACATATTAACACCCTGTTTATTAATAGCTTAATGAGACTCAAATTATTTTGGTTTGATGATGTAGAAAGTGACTTATTCAGACTTCAGTAAATTTCTAAGGGGAATGTTATGCAAAACGTCAAGTTTAGAGAATAATGAGAGGTAAATAAGAGGTTGGTTAACCTCTTAATAGATAAGAGAAAGGTAAGATATAAGGGGATGTTTGTTTGGCTCTTAATGGTGACATTAAGAGCCAACCTCTTAATCGGTAAGAGGTAAGGAGTGTTTGGCAAAAAAAATCAAGCCTCTTAATGGTTACATAACCCTCTTAACCATTTTGCATCCAATGGTTCACTAAACCATTCAGACTTCTATTTTTCCAAGTTTACCCTTCCCACCCCTTCTTCCCAACCCCTCTCTTCACGCACGTCGCTTCTATTCCACAGTCGCCTTCCCCGTCTCCGGTAGCCGGTAGCCTCCACCATCTCCGTCCCCGTCTCCGGTAGCCGGTAGCCTCCACCATCTCCGTCCCCGTCTCCGGTAGGGTTACGATTTCTACAATCAGGTATTTCCCTTAATCGATCTCCTCCCAAAGTTCCTCGGTCAATTTGTCTTGACTTGGACAGTTGGACTCCAGTATTTCAACATTCAGAGTCGATCGATTCTCAGCAAGCGTCAATTAGGTAAATTGAATGTTTCTGCAAATCGATTCTTGCAATATTTTTTTAGATTGATTGATGATGTAGATTCGGGTTGACTGATAGAAGCTAGTTCCAGTTGATAATTGCTCTGTTTGTTGTTAATTTAGGTCATACAAGTGTTTAAGGTTGAAGTCTGGTCAGGTGATGGAGGAGAACTGTAAGAAGTATGGAATTCCTCTATATGGTGCTTCCTTTGTCCCAAATAATGCACTCATATCATCTGATCGAAGTGGCATCCCTAATGTGAATGAGGGTTAAAATGATAATTTACTGTCATTCAGAGAACAATTACCAAACAACATTATTTCATTCAGCATTTAACCATTATGGTCCTCTTAACCATTCTGACCAATTAATCATTCTGCACCAAACCATTCAGCAACTGCCAAACAGCCAGTGTCTTTAGAAATTTGAAAGAAAAAAAAACAGTCTGAATAACTCTGCCTCTTAATGATTCAAACATAAAAAGCTGACAAGAACATTTTTTTTTAAACAAACAATGTCTTATTTTCATTTTTTTCAAAAACCAAATATTATAACATCATATGCAAATAAAAAATAAAAGTTGACAGAGTATAAGGTCCCGAGTCTTTCAAACATTTTTTCAGTAAGCAAAAAATTGAGGTTTTTGTAAAAAGCCAAAAACGAGCATGATCAAGGGGTTTCCAGACCAAGGCTTTTTTAGGGTAGACCAGGCTTTTCAAGGCTTCCCCTATCTTACGTTATGTTCTCGATACATTTTTAGGAAGGAAAGTAAAAAAATCATGTTCATGAAACTTTTTAGGAGAAAAAGAAAAAGAAATATAAGGAAAATAAAGGTAGGGGGCCGTTTGCCAAATACTTATCAGTAAGTGCATATCAATAAAATTTAATACTATTATTTATTTATTGGGTAATATTTTGGTCTACCAAAACGACATCGCATGAAACAATTTACCCGGTAAGCGCTTATCGCGGTAAGAGTTGTCGCCCTCACTTACCGGGTAAGATTCTTGATGCTTGTCTCGCTCTTATCGGGTAAAATTTTTAGTCCTTATCATATTCATCCGATAAGGTAATGTTACTTGGTAAGCGTTTGGTAAACGACCCGTAAGTCTTAGAACTTTCTTACAAATATGGAAGGAAAGGGAATGAAAAGAACGGAAATAAATTAGAACTATTTGAAAATTATTAAAATGACAAACTACCCGATCTTTTATTCTAAAGAAAATATTTTTAAAGACAATATTGGTAAAATGACAGTTTTTCTTTCCTTTCTCTCCTGTTCAGGAACATGAAAAACAATTTTTGTTTCTCTCTTCCCTTCTTTTCGAAAACACAAATAGAAAAAGCCTGAACCTGTCCGAGCTAATTTAAAAAAAAAAAAAAAAAATCCCGAAACGGGCTTTAATTGTTGCACCAGGACCAGGACTATGCCAAGCTTCTGGCTTGGGCCTTTTTTGTGGATATCTTGGGACACTATTGTCATTCCATACATTTAATTAGGGTTGTAAATGAACCGAATGTTCAGTGAAATATACGTGAACAGTTTGACGAAAAGTTCATCTATGTTCATTTATTTAATAAATGCACGAACATGAACAAGTTTTTTTTTTCATTTATTTAGTTAAACAAACGACCATGAACAAATGTCTCATTCATTCATGTTCGTGAATGTTCGCTCATTTATATTCGTTTAAGTTTGATTACTTATGCTCATTTCTGTTCATGAACCAATTATATAATGTATTAACAATTGATAATAATCAACTATAACAAATTATGAAGAACCGGCATTCAAAACAAAATTAATAACATTGATGAATTCCCTCCAACCACTTCTGCCAATGTGGGATGGGCCTCAAACAAACAAGTACACAACACTTGGCAAACAAGTACAAATGCGATAGGTTGTATTTGAAATAAACCCTATATATATATATATAGATATATATATATATATACACGCTTACCGGGTAAGTTTTTACGTAAACAGCCCCAATTCTTTCTTCAGTTTCTTTCTATATATATATATATATATATATATATATATATATATATATATATATATATCCCTTCCATCTCACCAATTGATTTTTCTCCTTAAATCGGTGGCTTGATCCCGCACAAAGGGTTCAATGGTGACCCCTTTAAAGCAGTGTTCAATTAAGAATGTCCGTTTATGTTCGTTTAACACATTAAATTTTTGATCGTTCATTGTTTGTGTTCGTTCTTTTGTTCGGTTAAGTTAAACGAATGAAGATGAACAAACCTTCGTTCGTGTTCGTTCAGTTCGCTTAGAGGCCTAAGTTTGATGATTGTGTATGCTTTGAAACTGGATGATATTAGTACATCCCAAACCATTGAACTAGCAATGTTCCTTTTGACCGATATCTAATGAAGATCCATTGAACTAGCAATGTTCCTCTGTTTCTTCTCAGAAACTTTTCGATTTCTAAGTCAAGTTGAACATAAACAGCATTCTATGTTAGATTGCGCTAATCAACCAAATTCACTGATCATGATAATAACTTTGAACGTCCTAGGAAGATGTGGAAATTTTGGATTGGTGACCTCATCCAGGTGAATCATGTCTAATCGGTCCAAACCCATAATTTTAAATGTCTATCAAGAGTAAAGGAACTCTACACATTCGTTCAGATTAAATATAAACCCTACAACACCATTACCACAAATCAAAAATCCCACTTTTGAACTGTAATAATAAAACTAATGAATTCTCTCAATAAAGAAGAAAAAGGCTCCAGAAAGAAAAAGAATGACAACTACAATGCACCAGATACTACTAAGTAATGGTATATTGCACCCGACCCAAAGACTAGAAAGACCACCAAACACTTTATCCTCTACCAAATATCATCAAGGAGTCATTTGATGCTTACCGGGTAAGCACTTACTTTACCTTACCAGGTAAGCACGCATGAGTATGGCTGGGACCGAGAAACTTACTAGGTAAGTGAGAGAAGAGACTTACCCGGTTAGCGCTTATCAGGTAAGATAAGCTTAATATCAATCTATTTTTATGGCCAAAAATGTTACCCGATAAGACAAAATAAGGGTGGTGAACTGGTGATTCTTGCCAATAACCACTTAAACAACCCCCAAGTGATGGTATTGGTATTGGATACCTGATTACCAATCAAGACTCTAAATAATTTAGACCAAAGCCAACCTCAACATATCATAATGAAAGAAAGCAAACACCATCCACAGGCTATGAAACATATGATAAAAAGAAGTGCTAAGTTTTGCAATGGAGAGGAAAGCAAATCAACTATCATCATTTAAATTGTGCAAGCCCGAATCCTTCTAAAAACCATCAATAAGAAGACTCAAATACACAAAAAAAGCATTGAAAAAAACCAAAATCAAAACTCTACCTGATCGATAAATGTTTGAAAATTCAACCCAAAATCCCAAATGACATCTATCGCATACACCCTTTTCATCGACATTTCATCTAAACATCTATCAAATAAGTGTCTAAAAGACTACCAATCCTATTAGTGTTCATCAATAATTCAAAGGTAAATACCTTTCAAGTAAACAGTTCATATCAGTAATTGAATTGCAATGAAAATGCACAACCAATTACAAATAAAGCAATAAACAGAGTATCAAAAAACCATAATGATTTTAAAATTCTCAATGAAGTGGATCATGTGTTCATGTTCATCGATCAAAAAACATAGTGATTAAGGTAGATGTTTATGTATGATATAATTAAGGTATTCTCATAACCATATCTTTGTGAATAACGGATAATTCATGATGAAATAGTTAACTAAAGGATTCAAAATTTTCAATTAAAAAACAGCCTCATAGTCAAGGCTTCCAAATTCAAAACCATAATCCATAACATGTAAAGGAAGTTCGATAATAATCTAATTCAATAGAACTCACGGCTTCTGGTAAACATAGGTAAGTCCACACTTACCACAGTAGTGCCTATCGAAATGATTCGCCATGAAAGTTCCAGCTCCGCACTCGGCGTTAGGGCACTCCTTTCTGAGCCTCTGAACCTTCCCCGAATCATCGACCTTGTAGAACTGCAACACGCTCAACTTCACCTTCTTATGCTTGTGCTTGATCTTCTTTGGCTTGGTGTAGGTCTTCTTCTTGCGCTTCTTTGCGCCACCACGGAGGCGGAGGACAAGGTGAAGAGTTGATTCCTTCTGGATGTTGTAGTCGGCTAGGGTTCTTCCGTCTTCGAGCTGTTTCCCGGCGAAGATGAGACGCTGTTGGTCCGGTGGGATGCCTTCCTTGTCTTGGATCTTTGCCTTCACGTTGTCGATCGTGTCGGAGGATTCAACCTCCAACGTGATCGTCTTACCCGTGAGGGTTTTCACGAAGATCTGCATTTTCGCCGATTTGGAGTGTGGTTCAGAAACTAGGGTTTGGAAGGCAGGGAAAACGAAAGATTTTATAGGAGTAGGGTTTCCATGATAGAATGGGCTTTATGTGGGCTTAACTCAAAAACTGGGCTTTAATAAAAAATGCTTCTTTTATTTTCATTTTTGAAAAGTTGTTTTTAATTATGGTTCGTTTACTAAACACTTCTCTTGGTAAGTGTTTACCGGTTCAATAATCTTACTGAGTGAACATAATAAAGGCCGAAAATTTTACTCGGTAAGAGAAAATACAAGGATTAAGGGTGATGACACTTACCCGGTAAGTGTTTACTGGGTTATAAACGTCTATGATTGATGGAAATGTTACCAGGCCCCATAAGGTAAGCGAGGGTTGTGACTCTTGTAGGTAAGCGTTTGGTAAACGACCCATTAATTTTTAGAAAAAATGTATCATCTTTTCTTGGTAGATTTTTTACTCAATTTTCTTGTTCATTAATTAAAAAATATGAAAATAAGTAAAATATTTAGCTACTTTAAAGTTCGTTTACCAAATGTTTATCAAATAAAAATTTACTAGAAAGAATCGGCACTCTCATTTATCCTATCAGGGGTGACATTATCTGTCGTTATAATGGATTGTTGGTTATTGTCTCTTACCTATTAAGGGGTTGTTTGACAGTTGCTGAATGGTTTATGCATAATGATTAAGTAGTCAGGATGATTAAGAGATTCTCGTGATATAGTGCAAAATGAAATATAATTGTTTGGTAATTATTTACAAATTAGGGCGCTTAAATGGTTAAGGGAGGCTCGTGATACAAGATTATTATGAGGGTTTTAGAACCATTAAGAGACAGACTTTTTTCTTAACCTCTTAACGATTCAAATGATGTCTCTTAATGAACTATTAAGAGGTAAACAAACAACCCTTAAGTGTTAAACGGGTATGAGTCTCTCACTTACCGAATGAGATTCTCGTTCTCATTCAGCTAGGTAAGCGACCCCTCAATAAGCACTTATCAAATAAGTGCTTCATGAATGACCTCTAAGTGATATCTTAACTTTTAATAAAATAAAACTTTGTTTTTTACTATTAAAATGAATTTCAATCATCAATATAACATTGTCATTAAATTATGCATGTTATAAAGGGCTCGTAGATACGTAATTTTGCGGTTTTGCTTCGTTTAGAACGATAGTAAGGCAGTAAATGTTTATTTATCAAGAAAATTAACTCATTACATATTGAACACTGTCCAACAAGCACAATTCAACCAACAAGTTTCATGCGCTACATTATTTGAAGAACAATAAGAAGCCATAGTATCCGGTGGCGGACTTAGTTAGAAAGGAGTGGGGGGAAGGGACCCCATTAAAAAACAAAATTACGAGGGTTAAAAGTAGTTTTCTTTTTTTAACTTTTTCTCTTAGTTCCCTCCAGTAAATTTTTACAAGAGACCCCACAACCCTAAACGACCATGGTCGACTCCAAAAAAGTTTATTGAAAAAAAATCCTATTGAAATCAATCAAACAAATCAAAAAAGACATTTGAAATCGAAATCAACCAAACAACTATAAAAATCCCTCAAAACGTTGTAATTATGTTAAAAACACGTCGGACAACTTTACGGACCTTTAGTCTACCTTAAATGTGACCCCACTAAATAAAAATCCTATATCTGCCACTGATAGTATCCAATCAAGAATGGACAGACATCTATGTTGCTATATAGGATTCACGCCATATCAAAATCGATGGCATGTTTCAAGGTTTAAAGTTTATAAATTTGAAGGTTCCTTAGGATACGTCATGGCATCGTATAAGGTTAATTGATTAACCTGCTAAAGATAAGAAAAGCAATTATGACAAAAAGCTACAAACAATAGTCTACTGACTCATAAAAGGATCTTATCTGCTAATTTGGCTTGAATACAACTTTTTCTCAAACATCAAGTAGATGTTACGATGTCCCCTTTATTGATGTTTAATTATCAATAGGAAAACATTATAACTTTTTTGTCCTTCGTATTCGTTTTCTTTTACGAGTACAATCCTCCAGAGGCTAACAACCAAACAAGAAACTTCATAGTTGGGTATAATTCCGAAAGGGAAATCGCTGTAAGAACCACAAATTAATGGGGTGAAAAGTAATACCGAAAACTAAAAAACAACTCATATTAAAGCGCACACGCACACATACACACACGTATACAAAGTTCTTATAAACAAAAAACGTGGATTCTTAAAAGAACCATCATTGAAGATGGTTTTTATAAGAACCTTACATTTTTTGAGTTATTGTACAAGAACCTTGATTCTTATCTTGAATTGGTGTGGAGTAGACATGGCCAAAACTCGGTCCCGGATTGAAACGGTAACAATTCGGACCGGTCCCGGTCAAAAAGGGAGGGCCCGGTTAAGGTGTATGAGGCTCAGTTATGAGAATTGATCCCGGTTCCGGGTCAGACCCAAATCGGTCCTATTAATTAATTTATTTTTTAAATTGATTTTTAACATATAAAGAATATCTTTGAAGAATTTGGTCAATCAAATTCTTAAAACAAATACATCTTTATTATAACTGGGTCAATAAAAAACACTAAAAAATATGTGTTTTGTTATAATGAATTTGGTTAATCATATACTTAAGAATATTTAATTAGATCAACCAAATACACCAAAAAATACGTTTTTATCATAATACACTTAAAAATACATCTTAGTCTTCAATCAAAATACACTTAAAGATACATTATAATTAATTTTAAAAATATACTTAAAAATAAATTTATAAATGAAATTTAAATAAAAAATCGGGCTGGTCCTGCGGGCCTTTGCAATCGGTCTCTGGCCGGGCCAGACCTTGTTTTTGTTGGAATATCGTAACCGGTCCCAGACGGTTCGGTCCCAAATCGGTCCCGGTCCCTGTCCTTCATCGATCCCGGGCCGGCCCATTTGGCCATTTTTTTAACCGTGGAGTGATTTTTTTGTTAGTTTTTATATATTTTAATTACTTTATTAATTATAATTAATGTTGAAAATTTACGTGAAACTCATTCTTATAAGAACTACTGTTACGGAGTTTTAGGTTCTTAATGTCATGAAATGAAACTCATGTGATAAACAAAAATACAAAAAACAGGTTGTTATAAAAACCTGCCATTAGAGATGCTTTAGAATTGGCAAAGTACCACATTTTGTAAGGGGGAGTAATTTTGTAGTTGCTTCTTCAAGGGTCCAAATTGAAATTTCGTAGAGCACCCTTTCTTTCTGATATGCGTACCAACTACCAGCAATTTTCAACTGGCATTCTTCTTCAAATCCCAAGGTCTTCTTGCTGCTGGCCGGTGAGCATATGATAACAATGATAGATCCGTCTCCGTGAACAAATACAAGTAACTAAGCAATCAATTCCTGAGTTCTGTTTGAATAATTATATTTTCTTAAGTTTATATGATTTCTCGTTGCTTTTTATGTGAATATATAGGTTTACACTTATGTATGGTTGTTAATCTACAATCTCTGTTTTACGATGATATAGTTGTTCCAATTTGAAACTCGATTTCAATTTCATTTTGTTGAACTGCAATTTGACCTTGATGGTGTTATTGTTCGATATCGCACACACATAAACACGCACTTCCGCAGCGGTTTTCTGGTGTGTTTGTGCTATATGATGTACTTTCATAGTTGGTGGTAATTGATGGCCTGTTTGTTAGCAGCTTAATGAGCTTAATGATTCACAACTTATTTGGTCAGCTGTACATATTGTTTGGTAGTGAATTAATGATATATTGTTTGGTAGTGAATTAATGATATAGAACAGGGATGGACCTAATTTTTTTTTTTTCAAATGGTGATATCGTTTGACTATAAGAAACAAATATAAGGATATTTTAAATAAAATCATTATTGGTCTATTGGTTAGTTTCATTGCTTTTCACATGTGAGGTCCTGTGTTCAGAAATATAATAAATCTAAAGTTAAAAACTAAAACCTACGAAAAAGGCATTGACGGGATTCGAACTCGGGTCTGTGGCGGAAGAAAAGCCTTGCAAACCAACTCAACAAAGGGGAACTTGTGTCCTTGTTGTAAGCTTTTAGGGGGAGCTTTATGCGGAAAACCAAGTTTTATCTAAACATGTCCCTCCCAATTAAAGGAAACGCTCAATCCATCTAAGAGAAACCCTCCCAACCAAAAACCTTTCCAATCTATACAGACAAATTAATCCACACATACAGTTTTATTGATACATGACTTAATGGAAAACCAAGCAAACAGCTGTTGAGATTCACTGATTTATATGTCTGATATGCTACTCCCTCAGGCCTCATCCATGGAGGTTCATTTTGACTTTTGCTATCAAGCAGAAGCTATTCAGATCCTAAATTGACATGGTTTTGATTTTCTGTTGGAAGTCTTAACACCTTTTTGGTTGCTATTTATTGTGCTTTACTCCCTCATGATGCAAAACAGGCCAAACAAACCTTGGTACCTTTCTTTCTATGACAACCTTATTACTTCAAGTCACCTACAACGCTACCAAGTGGTCAAAAAACTATTCGGAAGAATATATAATTTATAAGCAAAAAGTGTAGTGAGCCATCCACATTTTCGGAGTCAAAGGTTCTTACCTTGAATTTTGTGTGAAATGACATTCTGTTAGTTTTTTATTTTATTATATTTATGTTGAAATAATACACGGGACCCACAAAAAAGGGTTCTTATTAGAGCATCTCCAATCAGAGGTTCTCATAAGCAAAAAATGGAGGTTCTTACAAGAATTACCACTGGCGAGAGTTCTTATAAGACACTTGCATCCTTTGGGTTCTCGTACAAGAACCTTGGTTCTTACATTGATGTTTGTGTGAACTGACATTTTAATAGTTTTATATATGCATTTTTGACATTTTAATAGTTTTTTAGAATTATTGATGTTGAAAAAATAAATGAGGCCTACAAAAGTTCTTATAAGAACTACCTTTGTGGAGTTTTATGTAGCTTTTTAATTTAATGACATGGAAATGATGTGGCAAGAAAAAGTACAAAAAGTTGGTTCTTAAAAGAACCTCAATTGGAGATGTCCTCGGTCATTACCATTTTGGAGTTTTATGGTAGTTCTTAATTAGTTGGCACTGACGCGACTAAAACAAGTGCAAAAAGGAGGTTCTTATAAGTCACTCCATTGGAGATGATCTATTGAAAATCACCTGAATTATGTAATTACTGTAAAAATCCTAGCAACTACCACTAACATGTTGATTTTAAGCAAAAGTCATTTGAGAAATAGTATGTACGTCGATAGAAAACCAAAAAGTCCCCCCTTTTCTCCTCAAACAGGGAGTACTAAATTGATATACTTATCCTATTTCGTAAAATTTATGAATAATTTTCACTTGATAGGTTGTAAATGGTCATGTGGTTTTTAGTCTTCATAGCATATCTTTTATCTTCTTTATAGAATGGAGAATATAGAAATATGCGAGAGTTTTCTTATATTCGAAACGTAACATGGATAAAAGTATTTTCCTCACACAACCTATGATAGAGCTTTGTGTCATTTGAAATCTTGGCATGTGTTTTTTAGCAGCTTAATAGGCTTAATGGGACTCACTACTTACTCGGTCAGCTATACATAACTATGACTGTTTGGTAGTGGCTTAATGATATAGAAAGTGGCTTATTCAGTAAGCTTCTAGTGGGAAGTTTTATGCAGAAAGCCATGTTTTTACCAAACCTGTCCCTCCCAATTTAAAAACACGCTCCTTCCATCTATGAAAAACCCATCCCAAACAAAAACTTAATCTATACAGGCATATTAATATACACAAACAACTTTATTCATACAGCACTTAATGGAAAATCAACCAAACAGCCACTGCATTTACTATGAGCTGGTTTGCTAATCATATCATGTCACGAAAATTGTTATATACGTGAATTTCATGTTAATGTAACAACAGGAAACAAATTATATGGATGTTTCATCTGTAACTTGTTACCTGGCCCAATGAGCTAAAATATATAATCATATATTTTTTTTTGTATAGGAGCCTCATAGTGTATCGACCATAAATGGCTGATACAACAGCCCTGAGTTACTGGTTGAATTGGAGGTTCTTCCTTTGTGCACTATGGGTCCTCATAGCTATCATAGCAGCTGTGATATTAATACTCAAATATGAAGTGTTCAATAAAAAGAGATGCCGCCAACGAGATAATGAGGCAGACATTGAACCCATTGGGATTTTATATGAGGATGAAACTTGGAGGACCTCTTTGAAAGGAATGCACCCTGGTTGGCTACTTGCTTACCGATTAATTGCTTTCTCTATACTATTGGCATTGCTCATCTCTAATTTAGTGATTGGGGGAGCTAGAGTGCTTTTCTTTTACACTCAGTAAGTTTATTTGTTCGATCTTCTATGCTTCATTGTTTATTTAAACATGACCTTTAGGTCCCGTTTGGTTTGATGGAATGGAACAGATTGGATTTGGAATTGAATTCCATTCCAATCCCATGTTTGATTTGAAGGATTTCCTGGATTTGAAATCCCACAAACATAGGATTTTGAAATCCCGTGGGGGTAGTCGGTATTTCGGGGGAATTCGTAGGATTTGTATGCCATAATGTTTTAAAATATGTTAAAAACATTTGTTATGTAATAATCAATCAGTAAAAAGGTAGTTTAATTATTTTTATAATTATTTATAAAGAATGGAATTCTATTCCATTCCAAATCCTACAAACCAAACATACAAAGATTCCAAATCCTTACATATCCAAATCCCTCCAATTCTAAATCCTTCCACGAAACCCAAATCCTCTAAACCATTCCATCAAACCAAATGCATCCTTAGTGCGAAGTGCGAGTAGGATGTTGAGTTTGAACTGCTGTGTCAAAGATCATCCATGATATATTTATTATTAATGTTAATATGCAGTTTTTATGTTCTCATATTATTATATGCCGGGTTGGCTACAAATTGCCTAACCACTACCATTCTGCTAACCGACTATAAAATGTTACAAGCCGATATATTATTTCAAGTGTCCTACCCCTTTTTTTGGTTAACCATGGGTGTCTAGGCCAGCTTGCACGTACCTTGACTAATCCCAGGAGACCTGGAGAACAGTCAGGAAATCCCTAGTGGCCTTGCAAGGCTCCGCCCTAATTAGTAGCTTGTGAGGGTTCCATCCCAAGATGGGGTACCTTTGCATCCGGCCTTGTACCTTTTCATGTTGTGAAACCTATAATATTCAGTAGTCATATTGTAAATCCCACATCAGTTGGGGAGGAGAACAGAGGTTGCCTTATAAGGGACTAGATACCTCCTCTAACAGACGCAATTTAAAACCGTGAGGCCAGGTGTGTGGACAAAGCAGACAATATCTGGTATGGTTAGCCTGTGATGTTACACATATGGTATGTTTTTTGGGTCATTTTCTTATTTTCACCAGGTTCATTTTCTGATTTCAAGGCTTTAGAACCCTGCTAAAAGCATGAAAAATGTAGAGCATATAAACTGTCAAGATATTTGTCATAGGTATCTACTTCAGTGGAAGTTGCTAATTGCAATAAGTAATCAGCAGGTTGTAATGTTACGTGATTAACATGTCAATTTTATTAACATCTTGTTTTCTTTTGATGATGCATAGGTGGACATTTGCTTTGGTCACTTTCTATTTTGGGGTATGCAATGTTGCTAATCATATGTATAAGTTTTATAAACTGTATTGTTATAATATGCACATTTTTGTTTCTTTTTCCAGGAAAGACTAAAAAGTTGATAGGAATCCAGTTTATAATCATATTCATTTATTTTCTACTGTTTGGTAGTGACTTAATGATATAGAAAGTGACTTATTCAATAAGCTTTTTGGGAGGAGCTTTATGTAGAAAGCCAAGTTTTTTCTAAACATGCTCCTCCCAATTACAAAACATGCTCCTTCCATCTATGAAAAAACTCCAAAACAAAAAATCTTTGCAATCTACACAGACAGCTTAATCCACACAGACAACTTTATCCATACCAAACTTAATGGAAAACCAACCAAACAGCCCCTAAATTTTGAAGCAGTAGTAAGAAATCAATCATGCCGTACGGGCTATCAAACTTATCTGCTACGTTTATCAGTTTGCTAAATTGTGTATCTTTTCGTACTCGTTTTCTATTGAATAACACATTTCATGCATAACTATTATTTGTAGCTTGCATCTTCACTCTCCATTTACGGGTGTTACCAATATTGGAATGAAGTTGGTGATGACAACATCAATCGTGTGGGTTTAGACACAGAACAAGGCACCTTCACAGCTCCCTTAATAGAACATAGTTTGGCTTCTCAGCACTTGCCCACGGAACCAAGTAAGCATGAAGAAATTAACGTTCGCAAGACTGCTGGCACGTGGGGATATTTCTTTCAAATAGTCTTTCAGGCGTGTTTCCAAATAAAGCTGTTCTTTTTCTGTTTGTATATTTCCAAGTTGCAGCGTTTTTTAAATTTCTTCTCACTTGCTCACTCTCTCAATTTCTTTCTCAATAAACAGATATGTGCAGGTTCGGTGGGGCTCACAGATACTGTATTTTGGCTAATAATCTATCCATTTCTTACTCCTTTAACTTACAAGTTAAATTTTGTAAGTTTGTACTCGTTCACTTTTTTTTGCCACCAAGAGCGTCCACAATCCCAGGGGATGTAGTGGAATATCTCATCTATCCTGGGTTCAATTCCAGACGTCCACAACAATTGTGGCCACCGAGTTTATTAGGGTTGATCTCCTACGGTCACAATTTGCTAGGATTAGTTTGGGCATAGCCTGGGACACCCTTCCAAAAAAAGGGTGTCCACAATGGCAATGGGCGGTGTGACCATTAAAACAAATACCATATTAGGATTATATCAAATGAGGGTAGATTAGTAGTTTCTTAATTTCTGTGTCATTCTTGTCCCATATTATTCCACCTATTTTGGTGGAACAAAAAAAAAACGCTTTTTGTCCCACTCCCACCTGGTCCTTGTCATTGTCCCCGTCCCATGTCGCGCCAAGTGTGGAAAAGGTGAGTTTTTGTCTTGTACCATGTCGCACAAAACGTGGGACAGTGAGTTTGGTCCTGTCCTGTACCAAATGCAGCCTAAAGTTTTTTTTTTTTCCAAAAAAGTGGGACCCACAAACTTAGGTGGCAAGCAAAACAAGAAAAAGAAGGGACCCACAAGCTTATTGAGAACTTAGGCTGTCACATGCAAAAAGTGTTTTCTTGAAGTTGCTTTTTTCACAATCTGATGTGGCTAACAAGCTCTCCCAAAAAGTCTTCAAAAGCTCCATTGTGGATGTTTTAAGCTTCATGTTGGTGCTGCATTCATTTTGTATAAAACTTATAGATTGATTATCTATTTGTTTCTATATTATTTGGAGGGTTATCTCATCCTTGTTTGTTACAGTTAAATGTTAGTTTGCATTCGATCAACGCTGTTCTCCTCCTCATTGAAGTGATTCTAAATCGTCTAGTAAGTTGCAATTCTTTCATGGACCAATTTTTCAGTTTTGACATTACATTACAGAACATTTGATGTCCTCAATTATATAAAAGTCTTATTTATTTATCAAAATATCTTAAAAGCACTTGCCTTGCACTTGGTCGTTTTTATGTATTTCATTTGAAACTAACTATAAATAAATTCTGCAAGAAGTAAACTTTATAAATAATGAAAGTATGAACTGAGAAAAATGCAACTCAATAGATACAATTTATGCAAACATTTACTAAACTCTTACCGGATAAGCGCTTACAAGGTGTCGCTTACCTTACCGGGTGAGCATGACAATGACTGAGAAACTTACTTGGTAAGTGAGGGAGAAGGCTTTTACATTGTAAGCGCTTACCGGGTAAAAGACATTGACCAACAATCCATTTTGATGGCCTAGAATGTTACCCGATAAGATAACATCTTATTCGGTCAGCTATACATGATTGTTTGATAGCGGCTTAATTATGTAGAAAATGACTTATTCAATAAGTTTCTGGGGTGGAGCTTTATGCATAAAGCCAAGTTTTTTCTAAGCCTGCCCCTCCCAATTAAAAAACATGTCCTTCCTTCAATGAAAAACATTCTCAAACAAAAATCTTCCCAATCTATACAGACAGATTAATCCACACAGACAACTTTATCCATTTGGGACTTAAAGTATGCTTGTTAGCAGCTTAATGAGCTTAATGGGACTCACAACCTATTAGGTATGCTATACATGACTTTTTGGTAGTGGCTTAATGATATAGGAAGTGGTTTATTCAGCAAGATTCTGAGGAGAGCTTTATGCAGAAAGTTAAGTTTTTTCCAAACCTGCCCTTCCCAATTAAAGAGAACGCTCCTTCCGTCTATGAAAAAACCCTCCCAAACAGAAACCCTCCCAACCTATTCAGACAGATTAATCCACAGAGACAACTTTATCCATACAAAACTTAATGGATAACCCACAAAAACAGCCCCTTAATGGAAAACCAACCAAACAGCCCCTAAGTTGTACACTACCACATCAAATGCAGGACTCTGTCAAAGAACCAAAAGGATTTCTATGAAGATAACATACAAATGATAATATTATAGAAGTAGTAATAATGGAAACTAACGGACAGTCAACATTTTTCGCTAAAACACCGAAGGGGTAAAACTGCCAACGGCCTTTGTGCTTGTATAAGAAATATATATCATATCCTGTGTATATGTACATACTTTTCGTTGCAAGTTCTATGTTACTGTCTTGCTAACTTGAGTATCTTGAGTTTTATTTTTATCAGCGGTTCCCCTTCTTCCGTTTAGCATACTTTGCTCTATGGACATGTACATTTGTCATCTTCCAATGGATTCTCCATGCTTGTGTATCAATGTGGTAAGCCTAAAACTTCCTTTCATGTATAGTAGTCATCATTATGTATTCAATTTTATAGCCTATCTGGAAGCCTGTAAGCATTAGAACAATCGATCCATCTCCCAGAAAATATTGGATTTTACTCCTGAATGGGTACCCTTATTTGGAAAGAAAAGTACACATATCTATGCAAATTTTGCATGTTCGGTTTTCTGTTCCTGCAGCTATTATTGTGTGTGTGTGTGATTTTTGATCCTATGATGCATCATATAATGAGGAAAACAAAGATTAAACCCGTTGATTCCACGAATACCCAAACCTTAGGCATCAATTTCGATTTCAATGTGAACTCAAAATCTGGGAAGAAAATGGAAGTTCTTCAATTTCCAGTCTAACCATCCAAATTACACTAGCAGAGAAGGCAAAAACAAAATAGGCCTGAAAAAAATACTATGGGCCAAACATAAAAGCCCAAACAAAAAATGTTAATAGTAGCAAAAAACACAAAAGTGTCCAAAAACATACTTAAACAGCGTTTTTAGGCCTCGAATCGACTGGTCATGGGCCTGAAACAGAAAGCAAAAGTTATGGCCGTTTAAGCGCGATGCCTCTTTTAGGCCAATCATGGGCCTCCGGCATCATCCTAACAGCCAGCTAGTGTCCTCTGATTTTATAGATATATACCTTATTGATTCATGTAGTTAATATGTAGCTGGTTCATGTTATTGCAGGTGGCCATATGCCTTCCTTGACTTATCATCTCCATATGCTCCCATCTGGTATGAATCTATCGATGTGAACTTTATATACCTCTGCTATAAAGTATAAACCTAGTCGAAGGTGGGTCATTTAGGTATATAACCTTCATTGAGATTTTAACTGAATCCATGACCTTCTGGCTTATTAAAGAAAAATATGACTACATACTCATAAGGAGGTCGTGAATTAATTTAAATCTCATTTAAAGGGGTCATTTAGGTATATAACCTAAAATGAGATTTTAATTAAATCCATAACCTCCTGACCTATTGAAAGAAAAATGGATTTATATTCATCAGAAGGTCATTGATTTAATCAAAATATCATTTAAGGTTTTATACTTAAATATACTTGCAAGATAATGAACTTCAGAGTTTTTACGGGAACAAGATGTTTGGAACCAGACAAGTCAAGCGAAGGTCATTGAGCTAATTCTTTTTAGAAGGTCATGCTTCTATTATAACTCATTTAAGGTAATTTATCCGGTAAAAACTTTGAAATACACTTGGTGTCATTTTTTGGAAAAGTATAGCTCAACGACCTTCATATGACCTGCCTGGGTTTAAAACAGCTTGCTCTGATAAAAACCGTGGGCGTGTTTGTTAGCAGCTTAATGAGCTTAATGGGACTCACAGCTTATTCGGTCAGCTATACATGATTGTTTGGTAGTGGCTTAATGATATAGAAAGTGACTTATTCGGTAAGCTTCTAGTGGGGAGTTTTATGCAAAAAGTTAAAGTTTTTTTTTTTTTTCCAAATCTGTCCCTCCCAATTAAAAACACACTCCTTCCATCTATGAGAAAACCATCTCAAACAAAAACCTTCTTGATCTATACAGATTAGTCCACACAAACAGCTTTATCTATACATGGCTTGATGGAAAACCAACCAAACAGCCCCTTAGAAATATACTATAGTGTCATTTTATAAAGCTGGAGGTGGTCATTGAGCTAAATAGCACTGCTGTCTGCCCATTATGTTGTCTCTAGAAATTCACTGGTCAGTACAAAATTAGAAAATCTCAAATCAGTTGATAACAGCCCAGTTGGATGTAGTCATGACAAATATTGCAACTAGAGATCGCACAAAACGACTTGGCCCTTAATACTTGGGCCACGTCTTAGTACCTTGCGGTTAAGTCTGGTCCTTCATAAAAACTCGGTCATGTCATGTTTGGGGTGACATTAGACTCGACATGACAGTTGACAGGACCAGAGCGCTTTTTCCTGTCCCACTAAGATAGGGGAAACAAAAATCAACGACATGTGACAAGATTGGTAAATTACTAAACTACCCATGTCAAATGAAAACCCTAAAACCTTCCACAATTCTTTCACCTGACTACCTCACTCTCCTCCATCCAGTCCAGTCCTGTCATGTCCTGTCCACATACCAAAAGCATGCTATATAAAGGTTTTAAGTGATGGGATCAATGATACTTTGCAGGTATCTTGGAGTGGGATTAATTCACCTCCCTGCATTTGGCATCTTTGCACTCATAGTTATGTGGAAGCAGTTGCTTTTCTCAAGATTTTCTCAAAATCTTGTAGCATGAGGTAAGAAATAGGGAAATTGTTTTGTTGGTTGTGAAGCCCATCAACTTACACCTTTTTCTTCATGTGGTAATCATTTTTCTTTTTTAAGTTCTTGATGGTTTATTACAATAAATTGGAGAATGATTCTAAAAAAACACTTTCATTTCATTTCATTTCATGGGTCTTACTTATATGCAAGTGGGACCCGTGTCGAGGAGATGCCACGTCAACATATCATGATTCTGCTTTATAGATATATATAGATTTCTTTTACTTTCAATTATCATTGATTACTATTTAATATTTGTAATTAGATACCCCATAAAAGTGAACAAATAAAGTGTTGACAGTTTAACTTGATATGACTCGTTTTGACCCAGATAAAAAGTTGCCGATTTTAATTCCAATTCATCTTAACTTGTTATTTTATCGCAATCGATTTGGCTATTTTAGCAACTTCCAATTATATTATTTCGGTTATATTTTGGTGAGGTTCTCCTCATGCTTAAAACGTGAATCGAAGATGACATGTGGAGCATGTCAAAAACGTTTGTTTCACCTGGCCAAGTTATAACAAATGTTGTTCAAGTAAGAGGGAGTTTGGTTTATAAAATGTTTTCAGAAGTATTGGAATCTGTTGAAGAAATTTGACTGTGCGTTTGGTTGGAATGAAATTTGTTAAATGATTCGGAACCTGCCTATTTGGTTGGTAGAATATAGCTTCGCAATTGAAATGAATAAACGATAAATGAACAAAATACTCCTTTTATAACGGTGGTGATGGGTTGTGGTTCAAATCGGTGATGGTCAACGGTGGTTCAAATCGGGTGGTGGTTGGAGCGATGGTTCAAAAGGGTGTTGATCGGTGGTTATTCATAACGATGGTGGTTCAGAGGGAGGTCATATGGGTCTAGGTAAGTCAAGTAGGGAAGAACGGGATAATTTTGTTTTTTTTTTTTTTTGAAAAAATGGGATGAAATTGAATTGAATTTCTTTCAGTTGTGATGAAATGACCAAATCCATAAATAGTGGAATGTGTGGAATTCAATTTCATTTTATAGGTAAACCAAACGCCTGAATTAAATTTGATAAACAAAATTGATCATTTTAATTTATTTAGATTCTGTCAAAATCCTGCATGAAGATGGTATTGATTATTTTTTTTCCTAAAAAAAATACAATATTTAATTTGTTATATTATTTTATGAGAGTTTTTAATTAATAATTAAATATCTTGAAATATTTATTAGTGAAATAATTTTTGGTTAGTACATCCCCTCCAAGAGATTAATTAAAACTACTCACAATAATCAAAATCCAAAAACTTTAAAAGGAAGTTACATTTAACTTCAAAAAATTTCTTCAAATGTTATGGGTTGTTTGTTTACTTTTTAATAGTTTTATTAAGAGGCAACATCTGAATTGTTAAGAGGTGAATTATGTTTGGCAAAAAAAAAACTGTCTTTTAATGGTTCTAAAACCCTCTGAATAATTTTGTATCTCGTGCTTACCTTAACCATTCAGCACCCTAATTTCATTATGAATAATTATCAAACATTTATATTTCATTTTGTACTATATTATAAGAGTCTCTTAATCATTCTGACAACTTAATCATTCTACACCAAACAATTTAGCAACTGCCAACACAACCCCTAGTTGTGGGATCCCATACTATTGGGGAGGAAAACAAATTTCGCCTTATAAGAGATTGGTTACCTTCTCCAACATATATGTTTTAGAACGTGAGTCAAAATATGGATAAAACAGATAATATTTGATACTGATGTTATAATTATCATTTTTAGATAATTCTTTAGACTTACATAATTTTATACATATCACTCCTACATTCTCTTTAAAAGAATGTGCTATATAAAATATAGACCCTTCATTTAAGTCATGTTTGATTTGTATGAATTAAATGGATTTTGGAGGATTTGAATTTCAAATTCATTTCAATCTCATATTTGGTTTTTTGGATTATCCAAATTTGAAATCACGTAATTTTAATTGAAATCCTAAAAACACATAATTTTGAAATTCGTAGGTAGTGCTCGAAATTTCACGTGATTTCGTAAGATTTTATGGAATAAGGTGTTAAAAAATGTTAAAAACATTTGTTTTGTAATAATCGATTAATAAAAATGCAATTTAATTATTTTTACAATTATTTCTAGATTTTTTTATAAATTATTTATAGATAATGGAATCCAATTTCATTTCAAATTCTACAAACCAAACACACCAATTATTTCAAATCTCTTCTAATCTAAATCCCTCCAAATCCAAATCCCTTCATGAAATCTGATTCCCTCAAAAACAATTCTAGAATTCAAAAGAAATTTGTCGGAATGACATTTGAAATCCATGATATATGCGGTGGAATTTGGTCTAAGGAATTTGGTTTAAGGAATTTGTTGGAATTGGAAGGATTCCTTCACATATATTATGTGAACTAAACATGGTATTTGGAATTTGGTCAAGAATTTGGACATTCTAATTTCTTCCACTTCTACCAAATTCCATGAACCAAACACCCCCTTAGTTTTTTCACAATAAAAAAAAAATTTACTCAACATATTCACTTTCTTGGCTTTAAAGAATAGATATGGACCAAAATGGGATCACCAACAACTTGTAATGATAACTGATGGACCCGTTTGCGTTGGAAACTTAAGGAATTGTTTTCTCTAAATATTCGATTAATTGTTTTTTTAATAAAAAGTAAAGTATTTTAATTTGATTATTATTTTGGGTAACGTACTTTCAAAACTTCTATTTTGCTATCTAATATGTAAAGCCTCAACCCTTTTCTATATATATCATATATATGTATTGTCTTATTTTATAGTATGGGTGGGGTTCCAGTAGGCAGGTGAGTTAAAGTGAGAAAGGTAAAAAATGATCTCTACGTTAGATGCACATTAGGATGAGATGCACCAGATCAATCATCTATCAAGCGCCATTCATGTATGGGTTTGGAATTAAAGGTGATCAACGATCCAAATCTCTTCTTACATTTTTCATCTTAATTTTTCTTCTTACGTAATCCATCGTCTTTATAATATAATCAAAATATTTAAATGCAAAAAAAACCTTCCAATAAAGTCGTCCCTGTTGATACGGTTTTATTGTATATGTGGGATATTTTTTTTCCTTTTTCAAAAATTTGTGGAAAAAATATTATTTTAAAAAATACAAAATTAATAATTATAAATATATTTTAGTAGACTGGTGATTGGAAAAAGAGTAAATTATGATTTTCATCCATAATTTTAATTTACATTTTTGTGGTTTAAAAATTATTATTTTTATTCCTATAATTTACAATTTATTACTATATTCATCCCTGAACTAATTTATATCTTCAAGTACAATACACCAAAACAATAAAGAATTGTAAATCACATGGACCCAAGCAATAATAAATTATAAATCATAAGGAAAAAAAATAACAATAAATTACAAATTATAGAAATAAAAACAGGAATTTTTAAATCATAATTTTTTTAACAAACTTTAGGGACTAAAAACATAATTTAGGGGCTGTCTGACAGTTGCTGAATGATATAATGCAAAATAAAATATAACTGTTAGGTAATTGTTTACAATAAAATTAGGATGTTGAATGGTTAAGCGAGACCCAAAATACAAAATCATTCAGAAGGTTTTAGAACCATTAAGAAATATTTTTTATTGTCAAACAAGATTCACATCTTAACTATTTAAATATTATTTTTTAATAAAATTATTAAAAAGTAAACAAATAAAAAGAATGAAAAAACAAGTGAGTGAAAGCAGCCCGACATTGAATTAAAAGCTCCAAATCACAAGTAGGGGTGTTCAAAAAAACCGTTGGACCGCTCAAACCGGCCGAACCAAGTCAAACC